TTCAAACTAACCCAAGGTTCAAAGGCATCCTGGAGGAATATATTCCAACTGCAAGAGGGAGAGGTGGTTTAAACGTGCTTGCTGTCTTTTTTTTCTTTTACTACATTTCTGCCATAGCAGGCAAATTCTTGTGGAAAACACATTTTCAGCTGCATCTGAATGAATTCAGCTTTAGGATCGACCCAGAATGTAATGAAAACACCCTGAATATGTTAAACAAAGGACTTTGAAGACATCAGAAATAGTGGATGGGAGAAAAGCAGATGTTGATGAGTGTTACTGATTTGGTGAAATAGGAGCTGTCCAAGATGAAGAGAGTAATGGCTGGGTTTGTCAAAATGCCTGCGAGAGTTTCTGAATCATTGGTAGCCATGCAGGAAGTCTTCTTCCCCAGAAAACTCGTTGCTGAGTAACACATCTGGAAGCAGTGAATCTCTTTACAGAAGATCTTTCCTTCCCCCTTACCTGTCCAGGACTGCGTTTGTCCTGCAAAAGCAGCTCCGATCCAGGGGATGTTACAGCATCTGCCTCCCTGGCATCTGGCACCTTGGTAGTGAAAATTCCTCATTTCTGTACATCCCTGCATGTACCTCCAAGGCTTCTTCAGAGCCGTTCTTCTGCAAGGACCTGGGATCCCTGAACTGCATGGTTTGTCAAAGACTTTGCTGAGAATCCTGAATCAAATGAAGGATTTGACTGGCTTTTAGGATGTTAATCCTGTTTCTGCTGGGCAGTTGTGGTAACAATGAAGTGTCCCTATTTCTGACAGGAACACTTTGTTCTTGGCCATTGATTTTAGATCATGCAAATGCAGAGGAGCCTGCAGGTTGCCTGCTGCCAGGCGTGACTGTCTTAGCAAGTCTTTTCTCCTGCAGAAAGATTCTGAGGACTAATTTCAGTTTTCTAGGTTTAGCAAATTTGTTTAATCATTTAACTCCTCTATGTTTAGAGTGGTTGATTCATTTTCCATTGCTGAAAGCCCTGCAGTTCAGGAGTATCGGTGTGCAGAGGTTTTTGGGCAGTGAATCTTTCAGACTAACTTGGAAGCAGATTGCTCCTGAGGTCGGCCAGACTCTTGTGAGCAGGAAGCCTCTGGATCCCCAGTGTATCCTGCTTCTTCCGGCTGGCTCTCGACTGCAGAAAGCAATCTTGACAAGGGACAGAGGAAATGAATTGAAGACAGAAATATTCAATCAGGAAGCCAGGGAATCTTTCAGAGGTACTCCCTGCATCAGTTTGTACTTTTGTGTAGTAGATTTCACAGAGTCCCAGGGCGGTTCTTGCCTTCTTTATTTTTCTTGTCCTCAGTCCTGTTGCAGAATTTCTAGTGGATGTGAACTGGAGAGTGACTGTTCTTGTCTGAAATGGTTTAATTAGAAAATCTCATTGGTAAAGCTTGACCTCTGGTATCTGGTTAGGACATTTTCCAAAGCAGCAAAGGACTGACCTGGAGAAGATGTGCACATCACTGAAGTTGTGCCATGTACCGTAGGAAATGCTGGGAAGGGATACAGTCATGCTGAAGTGCTCTGCTGTGCTTCCAGACGTGCAGCGAGGTTATTTGAGTTCTTACCGTCTTAAAGATGTGTTATAATAAAGATGTTATTAGGAGTAAAATGCTCTGCATTTTCAGAGCAGCCTTCAAGGCAAAACAGTTACAATACATTATGTGAACGTGAGCTTGCTGCTTAGTTAAATGCAGTACCATCTAAAGGAAAATTACTGTCTTGTCAAATTTATTTAGAATTATATATGGAAGGGCGTGACTGCATCCTTGTAAAGCTTCAGGAATGATCTCTTATCTGGAGCACGCGTTCACTGCGAGGTCTGTGGCAGAGGAGAGAATTCCCACGTCCTTTGGTGCCATCTCTCCCTGTGGTGGATGCTGCTGTCGCCCTTGGCACTGAGTTGCCAGGTTTGGTTCTTTGCTGGAAGAGAGAGGGTGGGGAATCCATGGCAAATGAGCAAGAACAAGCCTCAGCATGCTGCCTTTTCCCTTCCTCCCATCTCATTTCTGTCTGCAGCAGTCTGGCAATGCTCAGGAAACTCTGTTTCCAATTCCTGTCTTGGGAAAACACAGTCATCCTCTCAATTAATGGTAGTGAAATCCCTCAGTGCTTGGACAAATTATTCCTCTTTACACTGAGAGGACAGATCAGGTTGGAAAGGTTTAAAAAACCAAAAATTAAACTTCACTGTTGCCACTCCTGGTAAATCCTGGTTCTCAGAAAGGTGACTTGTTCTTCACAAACACTCAAAGCAGCAGAGATGGCAGAGCTGGAAATGAATGGTACTGCCAGAATATGCAGTGGGTTGACTGAGTGCAGCGAGTACATGAAATGAGACGATCTGATGTATAAAGGATAATTGTGTCAAAAGACACGTTAGGAAAGCTGAGTTGTCTGGAGCGCATGCATGCCTTTCAACTTCTGTGTTCCAAAAAACTGAGCATTACTTGAGGGATTCCTGAATTCTGGTTTTGAGCCATTAAAAAAATGCATACACAAACCCAATATCTGGCAT